GGTGGCGGGGTGTTTGGGCACTATTAATATTAAGACTAAGATTGAGGCTAAGATTAAGAATAAGATTAACTTTAAGATAAAGAATAAGGTTTAGATTAAGATTAACATTAAGGTTAAGACTAAGATTAGGTTTAAGATTAAGGTTAAGATTAAGATTAAGGCTAAGATTAAGATTAACGTTAAGATAAAGATAAAGATTAAGGTTGAGATTAAGATTTAGATTAAGATTAATAATGAGATCGAGATGAAGGTTTAGATTAAAGTTTAGATTAAGATTAAATTGTTACGCAGAAAAATGTATATATAAGGAGTAATAAGAAGAAGTTTCAATTCAGTTGCGCGTGGGATCCACACACACCCCTTTTTTAAATGTACATACATAGTTACCCAACATGCCACAAAACTTACTTTACATTTCTCTATTACTTCCAACATATACTTGAGATAATCGATGTTGGCTCGAAACATTTTGTGTTCCCATTCTTTGTAGAGCACTTGACGTCGAAAAACAGCTAAACGTTGCATGGTACGTAGTTTCTTAGCACCAGCTTTCTACAAGGACAAAATAGAGATAGAGAAAACAAACGTATGTATACATTAAAAAGTGTTTACACCTTGAGGGCCTAGAGATATCAAGTGAGTTTTTAAATTTATTTGCCCTTTGAACAAAGATTTTCTTTGATGATGGTTTTGGCGACCTTTTTACTTCTTAATTGTTAATTCTGCCGGCTCGAGGTCAAATGGTTTTAGGAAATTTTTTGGATTAAAATATAGGATTTTAATTTTTTTCCCTGTGTTTTAATTCTAAAGAATTTCTTAAAACCATTTGACCTCGAGCCGGCAGAATTAACAATTAACAAAGATTTTCTCCTGAAAAAAATATTTTTGAAGGGCAGGTAAATTTAAAACCTACTTAAGAAAACGGCACTACTAGAGCTTTTGGCAAATACTCGCCTGGAATCAGAACAAAGTTTTTCAGGGGCCTAGATCGTCAGGTTCAAGCGGCCATGAGGGCTCTAACCAATACACGAGACACCGCCAAACTGTTAAGGAATGTTTTTTCAGCTCTTTTTAAAAACCATAGCGCTATCGAAGGGAACGAGGTCACCGACGAACTGGCGTAAAAAGGACCGTAGGTCCGGCACGTTTTCTGTGAACTCAATTTGTCTTCTGCGAAATCGACAATTATTGGGTTGATAGACTAAGTGGTCTATGTGTAGATATTAGAGAGCGGTAGAAGCCATTGACGGGCCATATTTTTTGGATATCATTTCGCTAAAAAGAACATTAACAGGCCGGACATCAGCTTGCTCGTAGACTATTTATCCGATATTAATTATTTGCCTTCTCAAAAGCATCGAAACAAAAGCAATAAACCCTCCGCCTAACCAAATGTAACAACGTATAGAAAAGCCTGCAGTCTTTTCTTGAGAGTTGTTCTGAACTTACAGGTCTATGCGGAGCCAACATAACCCAGATTATAAAATTCTATCGGATTTACGATCTACAAAGCGGCTGCAATGGCTGGACAACCAAAAGCAAAAGCAGCACAGTAGAAAGAGAGAATCCGGGAGGAGAACCAAGTAATTCTTGATACGAATAACTGGAAAATTTTGTATCAAGCGCGTCAATACTGCCGAAGTGTTTCCACCGCGGTTCTGAATAAAAGTAGCTCTAGCAAGATTGGTCACTTCGAAGGATGGTTTAATATTTTACAGTTGAGTATAATTCTAATACAAAATTTTTATATGAATAAACCCAATACTATTGCAAAAAGAAGTGCTCTTACCTTGATCAAATCATTTACGGCATTGATGTCATCAACATTCATTAGAATACAGTTTTGTAAATTTTTCAATGATCCACCGATTGAAGCTTCAACTTGACCCAAAGGCAACACAATTTCCAGGTTTTGATTTTGTACGATGTTGAACTGAAAGTTTATGATGATTGAAAAAATTTTAAATACTTAGGCAGGGTATGTATTTGTTTTAAGGTCTGCAGTGAGCTTAATCTCCAGACTGAATTAAATGAGCTCAACGTCCGAAGTTTTCTCGATACAATTTCTTTGAGACTGAGCTAACTAACTCAGCGGCAAATATTCATTTCCTGAGTGCTACATTTTGAGCCATTCTCTTCCTCTTTTTTTCTCTCTACTCACATATTGTCCCGACATTCGATCCATTTCGCCCATCATCTGCTGCTTGCCACTTTTTAAATTATTCACTTCAGTTATATAATTATTCAATTTGTCTTGCCAATCGGCCAAATGAAAACCGTAACCCTTAATCTTCAATTCATTTTCGATCTTCTGTCGACGTAAACGCACAAATTGTTCCCAATACTTTGGATCCAATTGATGGGGTGCATTTTGTGCATCGTCTAAAATTAACAAATTATTGAAATATTCCTGCACCTCAACGGGTAATGGAAACATGGAACGACTCTTGTGGACCAGCCGTGCGGCGACCTCTTGACACACCAAAGCCGATTGAAAAGAACGTTGCAGCATTTTTGGACGTCGCCGAAAGAGTTTATTCAATTCGTGCGTAAAAGCTGGAATATTACCGAGAAAATTGCCCTTGAATTGGCGTTCGAGCGTTTTGTCGCGAGAATTCAAAGATTCCATATCCTGTTTGATATCGGCAATGGACTTGTCGGAGAGTTCAATTAGTTTCGCATATCGATTGATGTATTCAGTGGCCTTTTCAGTGTCGGCCCTAAAGGTAAATGAAGAGAATATCAGAAAGAGGGCGATTGATATAACGCCGCCATACTCACCTCAACTCAGCAATTGAATTTCGTAGGTTTACACGCTGATAAAAATTCACCTTCAAACCCAGCAGACGTACACGAAAATGCTTCAATGCAAAGTCATACTTCAGCTTTAGTATAGCCATTTGGGCACAGCGTTCATTGAATTTGTAGATGTAGTTGTTTTTCAGATCGATAGTCTTGCGCTCATTCACATTCAAAATGCGTAGATATTTTTGACGATCTGCGGTCAAGAGGC